TGCTGCAACACTAACATTGTGTGCACTATGTAGAGGTTTGTGTGCTGCAACACTAACATTGTGTGCACTATGTAGAGGTTTGTGTGCTGCAACACTATTTTTGTGAGCAATGCTGTAGAGGTTTGTGTGCTGCAACACTGACTTTGTGTGCACTGTGTAGAGGTTTGTGTGCTGCAACACTAACATTGTGTGTACCAAGTAGAGATTTGTGTGCTGCAACACTAACATTGTGTGCACTATGTAGAGGTTTGTGTGCTGCAACACTAACTTTGTGTGCACTATGTAGAGGTTTGGGTGCTGCAACACTAATTTTGTGTGCTCTATGTAGAGGTTTGTGTGCTGCAACACTAACTTTGTGTGCACTGCTGTAGAAGTTTGTGTGCTGCAACACTGACTTTGTGTGCACTGCTGTAGAGGTTTGTGTGCTGCAACACTTACTTTGTGTGCACTATGTAGAGGTTTGTGTGCTGCAACACTAATTTTGTGTGCTCTATGTAGAGGTTTGTGTGCTGCAACACTAACATTGTGTGCACTATGTAGAGGTTTGTGTGCTGCAACACTAACTTTGTGTGCAATGCTGTAGAGGTTTGTGTGTTGCAACACTAACTTTGTGTGCACTGTGTAGAGGTTTGTGTGCTGCAACACTAATTTTGTGTGCTCTATTAAGAGGTTTGTGTGCTGCAACACTAACTTTGTGTGCACTGCTGTAGAAGTTTGTGTGCTGCAACACTGACTTTGTGTGCACTGCTGTAGAGGTTTGTGTGCTGCAACACTTACTTTGTGTGCACTATGTAGAGGTTTGTGTGCTGCAACACTGACTTTGTGTGCACTGCTGTAGAGGTTTGTGTGCTGCAACACTAACATTGTGTGCACTATGTAGAGGTTTGTGTGCTGCAACACTAACATTGTGTGCACTATGTAGAGGTTTGTGTGCTGCAACACTATTTTTGTGTGCAATGCTGTAGAGGTTTGTGTGCTGCAACACTGACTTTGTGTGCACTGTGTAGAGGTTTGTGTGCTGCAACACTAACATTGTGTGTACCAAGTAGAGATTTGTGTGCTGCAACACTAACATTGTGTGCACTATGTAGAGGTTTGTGTGCTGCAACACTAACTTTGTGTGCACTATGTAGAGGTTTGTGTGTTGCAACACTAACTTTCTGTGCACTATGTAGAGGTTTGTGTGCTGCAACACTGACTTTGTGTGCACTGTGTAGAGGTTTGTGTGCTGCAACACTAACATTGTGTGTACCAAGTAGAGGTTTGTGTGCTGCAACAATAACTTTGTGTGCACTATGTAGAGGTTTGTGTGCTGCAACACTAACTTTGTGTGCACTATGTAGAGGTTTGTGTGCTGCAACACTAACTTTGTGTGCACTGCTGTAGAAGTTTGTGTGCTGCAACACTAACTTTGTGTGCACTGCTATAGAGGTTTGTGTGCTGCAACACTTACTTTGTGTGCACTGCTGTAGAGGTTTGTGTGCTGCAACACTAACTGTAGAAGTTTGTGTGCTGCAACACTAACTTTGTGTGTACTGCTGTAGAGGTTTGTGTGCTGCAACATTGACTTTGTGTGCAATGCTGTAGAGGTTTGTGTGCTGCAACACTAAGGGGCCCTTTACATGAGACCCGAAATGAACTCATGACGGCATGAGTTCGTGCCGGCATGAAAATTCAGTGAAATTTGCTCGCCGTTACATGAAACCCGACATGAAACTGTCGAATTCTTTCGCATGATATTCACGTGACTTCGTGCTTCTCAAAAAAGAGCGGGAAAGTTTGAGAGTAAATTTTTAAAATGGCGGCAGAGGATCCAAGGAAACTTCTTTTGATCACAGTCCTCAATTATCTAGTTTTTACAACTGGTTGCATTGGGCTACAATGCAAAATGCTTCTAGCTATACAGGTATTCTTGCAACAGCAAGAAATTGAGGAAAAGTTAAGAGCTGCGGTTGAAGATAAAAATCGCGCCCTTTGCCGATACAGAGCCATGAGAAATAGATTTTTGAGGAAAAAAAGACGACAATGGAAAAAGCCTGGTCGCACAAGTGCATGGTGGTTAAATGTTTGGGATGGAATTTTAAGCGATGGAGAATGGCATGTTAACTTTAGAATGTCAAGGGAATTTTTTTCAGACTTGTTGTCAGAATTTAGGCCATACATTTCACCAAATCCAAATGCAGCATTTGTGCAACGGAGGCGATTTTATCACTGATTCCCCCCGATATGAAAAACTGATCTGTTTACACGACACTTTCGTGCCGGCATGAAACTTCATGCCGGCACGAAAAAGCGAAATGAGATTTTCGTGCCGGCACGAGTTTTCATGCCGGCATGAGTTTCATTTCGGTCAACGCCATGTAATCACAACAGTAGCTCAGACCAGCACTCGACATGAAACTCGTGCCGGCATGAGTTTCGTTTCGGGTCTCATGTAAAGGGCCCCTAACTTTGTGTGCACTATGTAGAGGTTTGTGTGTTGCAACACTAACTTTCTGTGCACTATGTAGAGGTTTGTGTGCTGCAACACTGACTTTGTGTGCACTGTGTAGAGGTTTGTGTGCTGCAACACTAACATTGTGTGTACCAAGTAGAGGTTTGTGTGCTGCAACAATAACTTTGTGTGCACTATGTAGAGGTTTGTGTGCTGCAACACTAACTTTGTGTGCACTATGTAGAGGTTTGTGTGCTGCAACACTAACTTTGTGTGCACTGCTGTAGAGGTTTGTGTGCTGCAACATTGACTTTGTGTGCAATGCTGTAGAGGTTTGTGTGCTGCAACACTAACTTTGTGTGCACTATGTAGAGGTTTTTGTGCTGCAACACTGACTTTGTGTGCAATGCTGTAGATGTTTGTGTGTTGCAACACTAACTTTGTGTGCACTGCTGTAGAGGTTTGTGTGCTGCAACATTGACTTTGTGTGCAATGCTGTAGAGGTTTGTGTGCTGCAACACTAACTTTGTGTGCACTGCTGTAGAGGTTTGTGTGCTGCAACACTAACTTGTGTGCACTGCTGTAGAGGTTTGTGTGTTGCATTTATATTTTGTGATCATGGAAACGATTTGTCTGCAGCAACCATGCATTTGTTCATGTGAAATTCATTTTGTAAACACTTTTGCTATTGTGTGCCTGCATGTCCCTTGTATGTGACATGGTATGGTACCTAAGGCTGTATGCCAACACAAAAACGTTTCTGCTACCTACAGGGCAATGGCGTAGCGTCCAGGTATTCAAGATATTTAGTCAATACCCTGATTTTTCTTAGAAAAAATATTAATACCAAGGTATTTAGTGAATACCCTGATTTTTCTTAGAAAAAATATTAATACCATGAAAAATTGTAAGAACTAAAAAATGCTTTGGGGCTATTGATTCTGGTTGAATTTGTTGCCTTCGATATGCTGCATGTACGAAATGTAACAAAATTCATGGAAACAATAACGCTGCAAAGAACAGAGAAGCTGGGAGATCTTTTAAGTTAATTTTGAAGACTGAGATACTTCATGTTGAATTAAGGTTGATCATGAATACGCAGTGAATACCCTAGATGGTACTTCAACCAATCAAAATGCTCCTTTCCAGGAATAATATTTACCGTTAACCAGCTAAAACAATGGTCCTGTAGGCTGAGAAATATGCAGCATACAGCCTTAAAGTTGGTTGTTAATAATCTCACTTTGAGATAGATATAAACAGCTAATGGATGTTGAAGCGGTTTGAGTGATGAAGCTTCATCGAAAACAGTAAATATGACTTCTTTCAAAAACTATTGCAATGTCCGTATTACTGTTTCATAATCATTCTCTCATTTGACCTCTAATCTACCAACAGCAAAGTGGAAAGAAAAGGTAGGCTTCTACATAATACTACACGTTATACTGCATTATTCTAGCACATTAATTTGCATTATTGTGCAGTCTCATCTCATTACCTTCGATTTTTTCAAACATTAACTGGTATTGAAAATATCACGATTAGGCAATGAAGAAAAAAATCTAATGCCCTGACAGTGCAGTTCTGGCCAACTGAACCAAAAAAGAAAATCAGATAAAATGTCAATAGCTAGTTCTTTCAATCTTCCTATTATCGTCTTGTTTTCACCAAGCCCCACTGAGCCACACCAATGCGACAGGGGGCAAGTAAGTGCTTCAAACCCATGAAAATTCTGTCGTAAGAAAAATTCTGATCTAGTTAGGTTTGAATCTAAAAATGGATCAAAGATATACCTGCTTTGTACGACTGAAGAGAGTTCTATACAGAACTACAGATAAATTATTCCAGCGATTTTCCCCTCTTTACCAGTTTGATAAATCTTTTCTTCTAAGCAGCTTCTTCTAAGCAACGAAGAGTTAGCGATGGGCCTAAAATACCATTATCGAAATTCGAAAGTAGTAAAATTCACGTGACAACGCGACATCCGAGACCCTCTAAAATATGGAACAGAGCAACAAGAAAAGAAAACAGGAAACCGGGCCCGCGCCACTTGGGGGGCATGGCCTCCTCACTCTTTAGCTAAATAAAAACAGCTTAAATTATTCATATAGATTCACCTTTAAATAAAATCAATGCATTGAACCAAAGTCCACAACTAAAACAGCCTCAGCAAAATTTTTGCCAGAATTCGGGCTTTCTTTACATTGCTGAACTCTCCAGTTTCGGATGAAGGCGCGGGCCCTGGATAACTTTGGAAAGTATGAAAGGAAAATTAGTTGAAAAATGTGAATCGAAAACTAAAGAGCAATATAATATTATCCAAAAATGGTAATTTATCGCATAAATTGCTTTAATATAAATGTTTTTTAAAAGAATAAACTTTATTAAAATGCTTTAATTTTTTATCCATTTGTATGCAGGCCCAAATTAAATTACATGAACGTTATTTAACTAATTTTCGAGAGCTATCGAACTACCAAACTACATAATTTTAACAAAATGTTAGAAAAAAGATCATATAAAACAGTAAAAAGTAAATATTTTTCATGATGAAAGAACAGACAAGGACAACGATAAAGTGCTTATTACAATGTAGCCACAATCATCACTCGCAGAGTCCCTGTTCCTATCAATCAGACAAATGGATTCCGATTATCTAACTGTTTTTTATCTTACTTGCAAGAAGCAAAATATCTTTCAGGTCTTGCAGTATTATTGGAGTATTTGTATCAATACTAAGGCTTCGATTTGTCCAAAAGATAAGAATATCGTAAGAACGTGTCAAGCCTCGAATGAGAAAATTAGAGGCAAGAACAATATACTCTTTGAAATTTTCTTTCTCTTAAATAAAACAGAGCCAATTTTGACAGCGGACTAACCTTGCAACTGAAGATGTCTTCCATAAATGTTCTTTAATGGTTTAAGAAAATAATTGTAGTGTTTAGATGAAGAAAAAAACCAATGTTGAATTGAGAGCAATACTAGGAGAATCCAAGCTTCAAATTATCCTAAAAAACATCTAGCCTCAGGAAAAATTCCTTGGCTAAAGGAAAAAGTCTGCATATCAGCTAAAACAACGCTACTATAGAACAGCTGAAAGGATACTGCTGCAAATTAATTAAAAGATTTTGCTGCTGAACAGCTGCAAAATACGACGATGCTTCACAACAGCCAAAAATAATCCTGCAGAACAACCAAAGTTCCTAATTTCAGGACCTCTATTAATTGAAATGTGATACCAAAACCTCCATAGCATAAAAGGACAGAATTTCGTCAAGGAAACTTTTACTTGTTTGCTGTTTGAATTTCATTTGCGTGCTTGACTTTCGTTCGCACCTTGGCCACTTTCCATGTAACATCCTGTCTTGTGATCAGCTCCTTTGTTCTGTTTTGTATAACTGTCCTAAATTATCTTAATTGCTGTTGAGTAAAGTATTTGTTGGCTTTTTTTGAGTAATTCAGTCGTTGAATTTAGTCGCTAGAGTTTAGACGTGATTTCAGATGTTCGGATAGGCGTTGTTATTTCAAGAAGTTTGAAGCATACCAGTTTTGCCGAATTGACCCGTTTAGTCGTTGTTGAATTAGATGAAACTATAGGAACCGTCGAGCCAAGAAATCAGAACACGCTTATTGAATTTTGTACTTTCTTTTACTGCCGAATCTGCGAACACAAGCCTGTAAAACTTTCGTAAACTCAGTGGTTTTAAAATAGTACTTCTTTAGCAAAGGCGCAGTAACAACAAAGAAATTCCGAATTTTGCTTTTAAGGTAGGTCACTGGTGGTATAGGGCTCTCGAGCTATTTTTTAGTTTTATGTTGAGGTTGTATCAGTTAGAGATCTCAGTTTAATGAAATCTGACCAAAGTGATACTGTAGATTTCAAAAATTTAAATTACAAAATGATTTGATTAACCGTTGCTATGGTAACGAGCGATCTATTGTTTCTGAAAATTCGAAAGTTAAGTGTGCATTGATTTTCTAACAGCATCATCAAAAAGTATTGTCCTTTATATCAAATTGTTTGTTAAGAGCTGGAGAGTGCAACTAAGCCCTATTTTTCCACTTTATTACACTTATTGTAAAAATTGATGTAAAAATACAAAAACGGGATAATCCAGCCTTGAAATGTTTTTTAGATTGTTGCCTAAGGAATGAATCCCTGTATGTCTACCTCAAATCAAGCATCTTTATTGCACTCTTCATGATTTAAGGATCATTTTGATATATAGGTTTTAGAAGTTTGGATTAACCTTCATTATAAAACTTGTTCACTTAGTTCGGTCAGCGGGCCCAAAATCATACTTGAATAATTCGCAGTTAAAGTTTTGGAAGCAAAAAACGTTTAGAGAACATACATTTTCAAGCAGTTTTAACATAGAAAATAATTATTTATAGAGCAATCATTATTATATCAATTATATAAATGATAAATTTACTTTCAAAACAGTTCATGTCCACCAAATCAATCAGATTAAACATCAAAACCTCCACTCTCATACATTTTTCCTTCTCGCTTGCTTGCGTCCTTACTAGATCGTGATTTCTTAAATTTCAATTCTTTTCTCCTCTTCTTGGCAGTGGTTGTCATAGCCCTCTCAGCTTTTCTTATCCTTTTTACATCCTTTGCAATTCCTGATCTTTCTAAATATTTGCCAGGTTCTATTCCCATAACTTGAAAAATCATGTTTTTATATGATGCCCCCATTGAAAACTGAGATAATGCCAATGCAACTCCAGTTTCTATCGTATTTTTTCCACAAAAAGTATTTTTTGGACAAAACTTCCACAGAATGCTGTGCATTGACTCATTTGCATTTTGAGTTGAGCCACGAGCACATCTTTTTAGCAAGCCAACTTCACTTAACCTATTGAATATTGGCACTAGCTTCTTTCCAATCTCTGTTGGGAATGTTTCATGATCTTTATGCCCACCAGGAGGTACAGACTTTGCCAAAGCCCTTTGCCAGAAACACCAGGAACTTTCTCCTGGTGGACAGTGAACATGTTTTGGGTCTTGATCTGTTGAGGACATGTGAAATAAAATGGCAAATATTCTCTTTCTCATTACATCAATGTCATCAGTGTTATCTTTAATGGCGCGACCATAGTAGTTTTGAATTTTTGTTATCTTTTCATTGGTCAGCTTTCCTTTCCCAGAAACTGACTGCTTTTGGGATTTGCAAATAGCAACAAAATCTCTGAGTGCTTTGCCCATTCTCTTGGAGACATGATTGATGCAGTCCTCCTTCTCTATCACTATGTCTTCACCATATGGAGAATCATTAACAACAGCAGCATAAGCTTTACTGTCTCCGTCAGATAGCATTGTTGTGTAATGGAGACAAAAATTTTCTTTTGATCTTCTCCACAATCTCACTGCACATTCTGCCTCCATTGAATTTGCTGAGCCATCAAAGTTCTTCCCACAATTTTGCAAATGTTTTTCTTGATCTTCTTTGTTTAGTGGGTTTTCCTCAGCAATTTTGCATTTCAAACAAAAATTGCTAAGGATCTCATAGTCAATGGGCAGGCCAGTGATAAGCTCGATAACTGCTCCAACACCATTGTGTGAGGAATGACCCCTCCTCTGCCATGTTCCATCAAAAGAAACAGAAATATTCAAAATCCCATTTTTATCAGGAACCACACCAATGTCTCTGTAGGCTTGTTTTATGACATCGATTGATTTTTCCTGTACGTTCTTAAAACAGGATTTACTTGCCTCATGAACTTTTGCATTGTGCCTTGAGTAAGTGTCGTGGCTCATTTTGTAGGGCATATTCATCATGCCACACCATTCAGTGATATCCGAATATCCACACCCAATGCCTCTGAAAGCAAGAATCGCCCTTGTAGTCAGTTCAAAAGGCATACTGGATTTTGATTCTTCTATCCTCTGAGAAAGGTAGCCTTCACTGATGAACTGTCCACATTTTGAGCAATTTAATTGGTACTTTACAGAGAACCCGAGGTGAGAGCCTTCGGGTATTGCCATTTGAACTCCAATTGAAAGACAATGAGGGCAAGCCAAGGCAGTCAAAAGTGCCTGCATCGAGGACAGCTGTACCATAAGATAGCAGTCTTCATCTTCGCGACTTTTTGGGTATTTTTGTTGTACCAAAGAATCCAAATTTACTCCAAAGTAGCTCAGCTTTCTCGCGCTAGCTGAAACCTCACCCTCAACTTGACAAACAGTAGTCTTTCGACGCCTAACTTGCTTCCTGCGTCCAGTAAACGGCTTGCACGATCGAAACTTGGTTCTTCCCATGACAGATTGAAACAGAAGATAACTTACAACTTTATGCCAGCTTCTGTTAAATTAATAACTCTCGATTCACAATATTTGATAAACTTTTAACGTCAAAATCGAAAAAATTGGGGCCTAGCTACAGAACGAACAAGCGCGTCTATGAAATGAAAACGAGACTATCCAATCAAAAGTCAGAATTTTTCGAATGAACCAACCAGAAGTGAGACCGTTACATGAGTATCTAGGCAACCAGATTTCTTTTGTCATACTACTAGGGAAAAAACATTATTTTATTTTCAATAGGGTGTCCCAATTTGAAAACATCAACAAGAGGTTGATAGAGCTTGCATAGGGCTTTCAAACGATGTCAAATTTGTTGGACTTCGCTGTCCCAGAAGATAAAATTGGCTTCTTTAAAAAACTAAAAAAATTTTCGGCAAAGACAAAAAATCAGCTGATCGCGAGGTAGTACCTCAGAAAAAAGTAAAATAATCTAGCAAAAAAAGATTGGAATTCGTTGAGAAAGGTCAGGATCTTAATCTTAGATGACTAAGGAGGGGTAATAACCAAAAAACAAAAAATCAATTTTTTGATGGTCAGCCACCAGTGACCTACCTTAAGGTAGGTCACTGGTGGTATAGGGCTCTCGAGCTATTTTTTAGTTTTATGTTGAGGTTGTATCAGTTAGAGATCTCAGTTTAATGAAATCTGACCAAAGTGATACTGTAGATTTCAAAAATTTAAATTACAAAATGATTTGATTAACCGTTGCTATGGTAACGAGCGATCTATTGTTTCTGAAAATTCGAAAGTTAAGTGTGCATTGATTTTCTAACAGCATCATCAAAAAGTATTGTCCTTTATATCAAATTGTTTGTTAAGAGCTGGAGAGTGCAACTAAGCCCTATTTTTCCACTTTATTACACTTATTGTAAAAATTGATGTAAAAATACAAAAACGGGATAATCCAGCCTTGAAATGTTTTTTAGATTGTTGCCTAAGGAATGAATCCCTGTATGTCTACCTCAAATCAAGCATCTTTATTGCACTCTTCATGATTTAAGGATCATTTTGATATATAGGTTTTAGAAGTTTGGATTAACCTTCATTATAAAACTTGTTCACTTAGTTCGGTCAGCGGGCCCAAAATCATACTTGAATAATTCGCAGTTAAAGTTTTGGAAGCAAAAAACGTTTAGAGAACATACATTTTCAAGCAGTTTTAACATAGAAAATAATTATTTATAGAGCAATCATTATTATATCAATTATATAAATGATAAATTTACTTTCAAAACAGTTCATGTCCACCAAATCAATCAGATTAAACATCAAAACCTCCACTCTCATACATTTTTCCTTCTCGCTTGCTTGCGTCCTTACTAGATCGTGATTTCTTAAATTTCAATTCTTTTCTCCTCTTCTTGGCAGTGGTTGTCATAGCCCTCTCAGCTTTTCTTATCCTTTTTACATCCTTTGCAATTCCTGATCTTTCTAAATATTTGCCAGGTTCTATTCCCATAACTTGAAAAATCATGTTTTTATATGATGCCCCCATTGAAAACTGAGATAATGCCAATGCAACTCCAGTTTCTATCGTATTTTTTCCACAAAAAGTATTTTTTGGACAAAACTTCCACAGAATGCTGTGCATTGACTCATTTGCATTTTGAGTTGAGCCACGAGCACATCTTTTTAGCAAGCCAACTTCACTTAACCTATTGAATATTGGCACTAGCTTCTTTCCAATCTCTGTTGGGAATGTTTCATGATCTTTATGCCCACCAGGAGGTACAGACTTTGCCAAAGCCCTTTGCCAGAAACACCAGGAACTTTCTCCTGGTGGACAGTGAACATGTTTTGGGTCTTGATCTGTTGAGGACATGTGAAATAAAATGGCAAATATTCTCTTTCTCATTACATCAATGTCATCAGTGTTATCTTTAATGGCGCGACCATAGTAGTTTTGAATTTTTGTTATCTTTTCATTGGTCAGCTTTCCTTTCCCAGAAACTGACTGCTTTTGGGATTTGCAAATAGCAACAAAATCTCTGAGTGCTTTGCCCATTCTCTTGGAGACATGATTGATGCAGTCCTCCTTCTCTATCACTATGTCTTCACCATATGGAGAATCATTAACAACAGCAGCATAAGCTTTACTGTCTCCGTCAGATAGCATTGTTGTGTAATGGAGACAAAAATTTTCTTTTGATCTTCTCCACAATCTCACTGCACATTCTGCCTCCATTGAATTTGCTGAGCCATCAAAGTTCTTCCCACAATTTTGCAAATGTTTTTCTTGATCTTCTTTGTTTAGTGGGTTTTCCTCAGCAATTTTGCATTTCAAACAAAAATTGCTAAGGATCTCATAGTCAATGGGCAGGCCAGTGATAAGCTCGATAACTGCTCCAACACCATTGTGTGAGGAATGACCCCTCCTCTGCCATGTTCCATCAAAAGAAACAGAAATATTCAAAATCCCATTTTTATCAGGAACCACACCAATGTCTCTGTAGGCTTGTTTTATGACATCGATTGATTTTTCCTGTACGTTCTTAAAACAGGATTTACTTGCCTCATGAACTTTTGCATTGTGCCTTGAGTAAGTGTCGTGGCTCATTTTGTAGGGCATATTCATCATGCCACACCATTCAGTGATATCCGAATATCCACACCCAATGCTTCTGAAAGCAAGAATCGCCCTTGTAGTCAGTTCAAAAGGCATACTGGATTTTGATTCTTCTATCCTCTGACAAAGGTAGCCTTCACTGATGAACTGTCCACATTTTGAGCAATTTAATTGGTACTTTACAGAGAACCCGAGGTGAGAGCCTTCGGGTATTGCCATTTGAACTCCAATTGAAAGACAATGAGGGCAAGCCAAGGCAGTCAAAAGTGCCTGCATCGAGGACAGCTGTACCATAAGATAGCAGTCTTCATCTTCGCGACTTTTTGGGTATTTTTGTTGTACCAAAGAATCCAAATTTACTCCAAAGTAGCTCAGCTTTCTCGCGCTAGCTGAAACCTCACCCTCAACTTGACAAACAGTAGTCTTTCGACGCCTAACTTGCTTCCTGCGTCCAGTAAACGGCTTGCACGATCGAAACTTGGTTCTTCCCATGACAGATTGAAACAGAAGATAACTTACAACTTTATGCCAGCTTCTGTTAAATTAATAACTCTCGATTCACAATATTTGATAAACTTTTAACGTCAAAATCGAAAAAATTGGGGCCTAGCTACAGAACGAACAAGCGCGTCTATGAAATGAAAACGAGACTATCCAATCAAAAGTCAGAATTTTTCGAATGAACCAACCAGAAGTGAGACCGTTACATGAGTATCTAGGCAACCAGATTTCTTTTGTCATACTACTAGGGAAAAAACATTATTTTATTTTCAATAGGGTGTCCCAATTTGAAAACATCAACAAGAGGTTGATAGAGCTTGCATAGGGCTTTCAAACGATGTCAAATTTGTTGGATTTCGCTGTCCCAGAAGATAAAATTGGCTTCTTTAAAAAACTAAAAAAATTTTCGGCAAAGACAAAAAATCAGCTGATCGCGAGGTAGTACCTCAGAAAAAAGTAAAATAATCTAGCAAAAAAAGATTGGAATTCGTTGAGAAAGGTCAGGATCTTAATCTTAGATGACTAAGGAGGGGTAATAACCAAAAAACAAAAAATCAATTTTTTGATGGTCAGCCACCAGTGACCTACCTTAATTGTAGCAAGAAAACATGGCCAAAAAGAGGGCAAGAAAGAAAATAAATTTGCTTAAAAGTACACTGTCAATCAAGAAGTACTTTGCATAGAGGGAGGCAATGACTACACTCTTTTATATCAGAATAGTATAAAAAAAATAGTATAAATTTTTTCCAGCCTCTGTAAAGTACTTTATGCGAGTTTTCACTGTCCAGTCCTCTATATGTAGATCCCTCATAAAGTGGCTCCTTATGAAAAAAATGTAATCGATCCAGTTATGAAAAAGTCATTAAAAGTAGTAACGAATATTTGTAAATACCTCCTTTGTAAAGAGCTGAAAACACCTTCCTAAATTAAAAAGATATCGATTATTGTTTTTTAAGGCCTTCGCCCCTCAACTTTGTCCAGAACGCCTAGCATTAATTATTTGATGGTGCCATTGTCACTGCCCCCCCCCCCATTACTATATAATGTGCACAGACAAATATAATAGTAAACTATATCACAAAAGTAGCCACCCGCATAAAGTACATACACATTGCAGCATTTTAAAGTAAATTGCAGAATTTTCTAGAGAGGGGGGGGGTGCCGCACCCCCGCACCCCCCGCTAGCGACGGCCCTGTCCACATAAAGTATACATTACAGCATTTTAAAGTATATGGAAGTACAAAGGTCGATTGACTGGGGATTGACAGGGTTGGGCATAGAAGGAATTGGTTTGAAGGGTAAGGAGAAGAGAAAATGCAGAGTCCTGGCAACCTCTGCTGTCATATTTGAGTTGCCAGTCAAACTCAAAGAAAAATTGTGCGAAGTCAACTCACACGGAAAACAAACACTTTTTTATTCAAAATTTTGTTCACTAATCTTATTTAAGGTCAAAAACAAGAGCGGTCCCTCGCGGGAAAATTTCTCCACGGCACTCATGATCATTTACAACACTCAACCTTACTTTTGGATAGTTGGGGTTGGGAAACGGGGCACAGCCTTTCGCTAAACATATTTACAATTAACAAGGAACAATAAACAGTGAATGTGCCAATTTCATATATGACATTTGTTCTAGGGCGTGGTGGCTCACTGAGACTCGAGAAATTTCCCGGTAGGCCCTCATATTAGAAACTTTTCGTGTGTGTGGGCCCCTTGGATTTGGAAGTGAAGTGAGGCCCCACGCAAGCATTAGAAAAGATCTTTGGATCTTCAAACTCATTTTTGAATGATGGTGTCGCTGCCCTTACAGAAGTCTTTGTTACTCTTCGTGTAAGTTCTGAAAGTCACACGCAAAGATACCAAAATATGTTAAATCTAAATAGAGTTTTTTGTATGAAAGTATGAAGCGCTCTTGACAACACTTACGCTTCAAGCAATTTTTGAAGTGACACCTCCACTATCGAACTATCTGCATTCCAAAGGCATTGATCTCCTGCAATCCTGGAAGGGATTGTACAAAGATTTTGCATGCTTTAGATCCGAAAGATTCACCGAGATAAGTCTGTATGGTCTTCATAATGGATCATTGAAAAATGTTTGCGAGTTATTAAGAGGAGCACTTGATCGCATGTTCTTTCCAGACCTTGCCAAGACTCTTTCAGAAGATTATGACAGAGAGATAGTAAATGTAGAGCCTTTCTCAGAGAAAGGGAACGAAGAAGAAGACACTGTCATGATAACTCAAGGCCAATGCAAACAACGAGGAATAACATGCTGGCAATGCATTCCTTGCGTATTTCGAGTCCTTTATAACTACGGCCTGAACAGCACCTCCTATTATGACCTATTTGTTGCATACCAGTATTTGCTGACTCTTTCAGTAATGCAAGTGGAATGTGTGAGGGTTTTTTCAAGGTTTAAATTAGTAAAGACCAGATTATGAGCAAGAATGACACTCGATGCTGATGAGTGTACAACATGAATATTTGAATCTCCAAATGTCTGATGAAATTATCAACAACGTAGCAGCCAGTGGCGAATCTAGCCTTAAAACTCTGGGGGGGGGCTAGCCGGGGGCCAAACTTTCAATTATAGGGGCCAATGCAAGCAGTGGCGTAGTTGCTCAAAATTAGCTACAAGGCACCGATTTTTAGCGCCTTCTAGATAAATATGTCCTTGATACAGCTCTATCAAGACTGTCATCATTATGCCAAATAGTTTTATTAGTGAAATTTTTTGCTGAGGGCCCCTAAAAGTGCGGAACCCTTTGTTATTTAACTATAGGCGACTTGGGGCCGTTACTCCACTTAGTTTTATCTGTTTAAAAATATTTGCATCATGTACATTAGAATTTCAACACAAGAACTACACTTCACATAAAAATAAAAGGCTAATAACTTTGTAAAGTTGATTGGTAAAGTTTTTCCATAGTAGTTATGTCTTATATCCAACCTTCATGAGATCAACAAAATCATTCTGTTACACAGAATTTTAAGTCATAGGATTTTGATAAGCAATAGTAGATTGCCAAGGTATACTTAGCCTGCGTCACAGACCAAAAACTTCACGGAAGATTTTGGTCTGTGACGAAGGCTAAGGTATACTGGGATGGTATTGGTATTTCCCTGCACTGGGTTCTAGGGCGAAAAGGGTTTTCAATAGGATGCGTCAAATCTTGGTTTGGCCTTAAACTCCCCACCCCACCCCAAGAAGGTGTATCTTCGTGATAATAGATAAAAAATATAGAATTTAAATGATTATCAAGAATGAATTTTTCTTGGTAACTACAGAAAGGAGCAAAAATGTTTTCAATGTTCACCTCGGTTACAAACCAAAACGCTTATCGGGGCCTTAAAAAATGCAATAAAAGATCGCATTGAGCAAAATAAGGAGAGCAACCCAAACAAAGTCAAAAGACGATTGAACTGCTTTCGAAGAAAACATTGAATTTTTAACCAAAACTTTTGAAAATACTGGAGGGCAAAACAGGAGGCAAAGAAAATTTCTGGTAGCGGCAACAACAAAGTTAATGAAACGGCTCCTTTTTCTTAGATTTTATGCATTTTTGACTCAAAGCTTGGGTATTCATGGTTTTTTGTCTAGCATCCTTTTAGCATCAATATGATGTGCCTTTAAAAATTGCTTAGTGCAGGGACGCCGAATCACATTTTGGGGTGAGGGGGCTCTAAACAAATGAGCAAACCTTTATTGTAGTTTTTTCACCATTATCCCTGATCCTATAAATCAATACAGCCTCCCTGGCTCCGGCATGCCTGTAGAGGGTCCCTAAACACGGGATTTTCCCAGCCCATAAATATTTCCACAACGCCCCTGTATAAGTTACGTAGTCGATCCACAGTCTTCGATTAGATCTTTGAGACAACTTCTTCCCCCGAAGACCACCTGACTATGCAAGCAATCAATCAAAAATTGCCAGATCATCTATAGGGAACAAGTTATAAGAATCGATTTATCACATACAACGGCATCAAAGTCTTGAATGGTTACCAATACACGTAAGAGTACTAGCCAACAAACTGAAAACCATCTTGAACAGTCATGCCTATTGTTTATAATCATTTTCATCATACCGTCTTTCGAGGGGCAAATCACTCCAAGAAAATCTCGTACACCTTTTGTGAAAATCCGATTGTTTTATCTGAAAATCCCCAGAAACCCTTTGTTTAAGGGAAAATCTCGTACGCTATTTGCAAGAGTGAATTAATTGCCCTCGCCGTCTTTCACATTCATTTTCATTCTTTTCATCTGTTTTCTGCATTATGCTTGCTTTTCTGTTCTGTTCTCTTAGATATTGCAGATTCATATATATAAATCTTTACACAGGTACACAAAGCTTTAATCTGGATCCCCGTAAAATATTTGATACATATCAAAGTCACGTCGAAAAAATGTTATTCAAGCAATATCCTAACCTATGAACCAATTTAATAAAAAAGATAAATCGAATTCCTGTTGATAGTCTCGTAAACTAGCATTAATCAAAAATCTATTTTGGCACAGGGCCCTTGGCTCGAAAGCCTGTTGGTTTTCCCAGTGTCCTAGGCGACTTTCTTTATGTTTTACAACGGCTTAAACTTTTAAATCGTTAACCTGCCTTACCAGAAACTTCTGCAAAACATGATATGGTACACAAATTTTCTATGAAATTCAAGGAGTTTTTATGAGGTCAAGAAGAGCATATTCAGCTATCTTGTAGGAAGTTGCTAAGCCTGGAAATTCCAAATTATTGCTCTACCGTTTTGAATTATGCGAGCAGTCATTTGAAATAGCACGGGTGTGGCTCATCTAACCCGTCTGGAATCACTATTTTAATAAGTCAGTTTTTGTGCAATGTAATTTTGATTTTGTTCCTTAATTTGCAGATGGTGACGGGCGGCAGCCTTTGAACACCGAAGATTACCCTTGCGTTCGATTCACTCTCACCACAACTTTGTGACAAGCAGGATTCTTTGGTTTGACGGTGGATTAAGAAACTGTCGTTGAAGGACTGTATCGAAGAAGAGGGTTGATTGGTTTATCAAATGAAAGACAATATTCTTTCGAGGTTTGTGTTCAGCCAAGACTAAAAACCGCGGAGAAAATATTACGTAATGCGGGGGGAGCTAGAATGGAGAGGGATAAGACTGCTAAAAAGCCAAAAACAAAGCTATTCTTGGTATGAATTCACTTTTAGATAAATTTTGGCAGGGGCGTCGTGGCTCCTGGAAAAGGGCCCGGGGCCCGCTCTTTTGTATAACATCTCCAATCACAAACCATAGGTCGCAAAAAATGGTGCAAACCTGGAAACCATGCACCTATGAAAAACTAAACAATTTTTTATAATGTTTTAAGGTTCATCTAACCAAAGCCTCTTTAAGCCTGGAACAAAGCCACTGCTGTAGTGCACACTTGATACAAACCCGGATGGGATGGAGAATTCAGGTGCACTTTTTGCGACAACGCCCTTCGAATAAGTTTGAAATACATTTCAGAACGTTTCTTGCAGTCATTTTCTTGCAATCGTTTACAACGTTTTACGATTTTTTAAGCACACTTGTTGAGTACGTTACAATTCAGTGCATAAAATAAATTCCTTACTTTAGGAGGCTCCCTAGACCCTGGGGCACTTTGCTCCTCCTTGTCCCTCTCTCAGCAGCCCACGTGTACTTTTCAAAGAGCCACGTTTGTATATGTTGATCTCTAAGTCTCTAACTCTAAACTATGAGTATACATGTAGGTGAGGTATTTTTTCACCAAGCATTTTTTCATATAAAATATTTTCCAGGGTGTTACAAACTCACTTGAAAAGGGCCCACCGGGAAATATCCGGGTGTCCCGTCTAGCCACAGCGCCCCTGCTTTTTGGGAATCATTGGAGGGTTAAAATTCCCTTCGCGGTCAAAATCAATTCCACGATAACTACAGCAATCCCAACATTTAAATTTGTAAAACCTTTTAAGCAATTTAATTTAGTGTGTAAAAAGAGAGGAGATGTTAAATTCCAGTTTTGAAAGTTAATTCTATTTTACTAAACTATTCCTCCTTTACTATTGGGTATGCAGGAAAAGTAATGAATATTGTTCAAGTTAAAGTAAAGTTTAAAAGCTTTAGAACAGTTTTTTCTAGTAACAAATTTACCCAAACTATCAAATGAAGACACCATAAAATAGAAGGGGTTTTGTTATCAGTTATGAACATTTCATTTTTGTGAAAAATGCGGGTCCCGCGTCTCATGACCCCCTAGAACCCCTGTATCATTGTCTTGAGATTCAATTACATATGGATCCAGCGTTGGTCCCACTTTGCCTGGCTATAATGTCACAAAAGTATTTTTGTTTCCACCAAACCCCCTCTATTTGTAAATTCCAATTTTGGAGAAAACATAGGAGAAAACAAGGCCTCTTTCGACACTCTTACTTGAGGAAGCAATTGCCCCTCTTGTCCTAACGAAGTTTTCACTTAAGACACCAGATAATTGTCTCTTTTTATAAGCATAAAAACAGCTTTGAGGGAAAATGAAGTATCTGTAATGGTATCTACGTTAAGAAAGTTATCTTTATTCCTTATTACCGTTTGACTAAAGTGCAATCTAAAATGGTTGGATTGGGCGACTTTGATCGCCCAAGAAGTTGATATTCACTCCCAGCATTCACCAGTGTTACCAGCATTAAATAAAAGTGTTTTATAATAACAAATACTGGCTGAGAACAACAAGAAACACAATAACAACGCAGCTCATTACAAATTACGAATATATACTGCTAATGTTAAGAAGAGAAAAACATGCAAAGATCCACATAATGGCTGTTATCAAAGAGGAAGAGAGGAGAAAGCGAGCGTTTATAGAGCCCCTATTCTAGCAATAAAGGTGTTTTTGCAAACCCGTGTTTTTGCAATTTGGAGTACTTGCGACGTAGCTTGCTCTGGAAACAGAGCCATACCCTTCCTTCGCAGAGCCATACCCTTCCTTCGCAGAGCCACCTTCCTTCACTGACATGTTCACAAATAAAAAAGTCATGTAGAACAATCATTAACATTAACTAGGTTTGATTCCATAATAAGATCGCTCTCCAAACCAGGACAATTTCAGTACCATACAATCTCAAAGTTTTCTAGAAAAACCTATATAAACTCTATCGGCAAACCTTCGTGCAGAAGTTTCTTTTATATTACATATGAAAAATCCTTACACATTAACTTGTTGCTGTATTTTAGTGCGAAGTTTATTAGTGAAGCTTTTAATTCCAAAACCTAATTTTTAATAAATCCACACCTTAATCCCCTTCGAGTTGATAGGTAATGAAAACAAAATAATTGTAGCATGAATTATCAAGAAATAATTGTTTCCGTTTTTTGTGAAAGTTCACAAATAATGTTGGTAAATTATGAAGAATCTGTACTTTATTGGCATGAAATCTAAAGAAACGAAATTACAGGTCAGGTTTGATGACATCGATTTTTTCTTAATTTGTTGACAAAGATAGCTTTTTTTACCACAGTACTTAACTTAACTTTTAAAATTAGCCCGGCGTAGACTAACTCTTAACGGTTTCATGTCTACAAATGAGCAGGTATGCGTTTCAGGCAAACCTGTTAATTCACGCTTATCAAATGTCCGTTAGGAGCCGTAAACTGTGTGCACGAAACATTTCAACAGCGCTGCAACGGCAGAAATTTCAACTACCAAATAATAATTTCAAATTATTCCAGGCAGGAAGCAGGCCTCTCCCAGTCAGTTTGGAAGGAAAGGTTCAACATTGTGTTTTAGGCCTCTTGGTTCCTCTAATCGCCTTATTCAATAACACTCTTTTTCGGGGACTTATGTTGTCAAAAAGAACGCATAACAAATGTTGCGTGCGCACGTGTATGGAGACCCTTATGTAAACATCACAAAATCTGACACAGCTTACGGGAACATGGGTATAATTAATGGTAACCCATCTAAGTGGATTCACGCATCAAAAAGTAATTGAACATATTTAGTAAACAAAAGATGATCAGTATCGGCGAGGAAATATTTCCACTTTTCATAAGCATCGTAGTTTTAAACAGGAATTATGCGGTTGACATAAACTAAAACCCGCATCATGTTTTCACGACTTGCGGCAGAAATCCATTTAATAGCATTGTAGTCAACTCCCAAATATTGCTAGGGTTTACAACCTAATCAAAGCGTATAATTCTGTTTCATAATCTTTCAAAATCTCTCTCCATACAGTGAAGAGAATCACAGTAACGATCGATACACGACTTTTTTGGCTAACCAGGCAGAATTAAGAAATTCTGTCATGTGTGTGCAATACAGAAATGTTTTGCAAAACGGCATGTGAGCAGCGAAACTGCATTCCATTCCACTGGGATGGTTTGTGCAACAGCATATAAAATAAGTCTGATTAAAGTATAAATTATGCGTGAATAATTAAGATGCTTTCACATTTTGGGCCTTCTGGAGAGTTGATGGTTAAATCAGCCTTCGGTTAAAACATGGAATGTTGGGCAATTATTGACGAAACCTAGCTGCTAAAACTCGGACAAACCTATATACCTTTGAACTCTTGATCTAAACTCGTTATATAAGAACAATTTTATAAAAGCACAAGCTTTAAAATTGGTCAAAAGTTGAGCTGAGGCTGAGCTACTAAAAAATGTAATTTTGAGCAACGTTTCATCCAGGATGTGTGGGTGCTTTTTCGATGAATTTTCAAACTTGTCCGCAAATGAAGTTTGTCTCAGTCACTATGCTAGTGCATCTCGAAATTTCTCGAAACCCAATTCGATAAACCCTTTTTCGAATACTGATAATCGCTCACCGAGAAAATTTTCCAAGTAAGAGAGGTGGAATATCAAGCAAAAACTGGTACAACTAAATATGACTCGATGATAACTTGAAATAGTTTGTCTACATACAATTCCTCATACTAAAATAATGTACAAAGCACAGTTCCTTAGTTATTCTAGTAAAAATTTATTTTCATTTATAAGATACTGTCCTTAATGCGTATTATGAAACGTAATATCCTTAGAACATTTCCGTCAGCCCTGGCAACCTTTCACTGCATTGGGTTTGAAAGATTAAATTAAGGCCCGACTCTCTATAATTTATCATGGTAGTATAGAATGAGGCGTGAATGCCCGAAAGGGAGGCATGAATGCTCGAAAGAGATTCAAGGGAATTCTGTCCACTTACTGGGGAAAGAAAGGATCTTGAAGGGGTATTAATGGTATAATTTTGAAGATGTCAATTTATTGCTTTCTACTGTGTTGCAAGTGGCGAATTTGAATCTATCTAATTTACTATCTATATTTAACGTAAATGGAATGTTAATGTTTCATGTCTGCTTCTTGAATGTTTGTTTTCGTGTTTAGTTTGAAATTTGACCTTAATGACCTGGTTTTCCTGAAGCAAACCTGACATTCTCAGCACAGCCAATATTTGCAAACGAAATCTTTAATCGGCTAAATGGGTGTATAAAAGAAAATAGAAAAGCTTTTAAAAAATATCAATGTTAAAACCGTTTGGGTTTGTTAGTTGCTTCGTCCTATGTATGCTGGGAGCAAAAGAAAGCTACTAAATGGTTTGCAAAAACACAAGGACGTATTAGGAATACTCGTGTTTGCCTTTCACTATAGGAACAGGAAATGTTTAACTATTTTAGTGTGACATTACGGGTTTATATGAAATAAAAGCTATCAGGGGCGAGCTGTGATTCACAACGTGTATGAAATAGAACATGGTCTATCAACGTTTTTACAACTTGACAGGAAACAGCCTCAAAATCTGCTTTAACCTTATCGAAAAGGGTCCTTTTCGAGGTAGAAGTTGGTAATGTGCATTTTGCAGTTACAGCAATATGAATGGAAGAAGTAACATTTAAACTTGTTAAATTCATATGCAACAGCAACAAACAAAAGTGATGTCATGATGTTAAATTGCATCAGGCACAAACACCTAATTTCAAACCACAGACTTAGTCTAATTAACAAATTCATCTAAGCCTGATTGAGAAATCTGGATTGTGTGTGTGTTTTTAGATATTGGCTATTCTTGGCACCAAAGGACAACATGCTAGTTTGCTGGAAAGGGTATGATTATGCCAAACGTCAATCTTACCAGTATTGAAATATTTTAAATTTTAAAATCTAACCATAAATGGAGAAGCAGAAATTCTCAAAATATACCAATAACAAAGCAGCAGGTACTCTGTTTTGGCTATTCTAAGCACATTCTGGTGGGAATTTTATGCATATAAAAATGTGCTATCAGTGAAAATATCAGTTTTAATATGAATTCATCATTGTTAACATTATTACTGGGTCAGTTCTTGGTAGATCAATCTAAACACCAATAACTTCTCTAACTTTTTGGCTAAGGCTAGTTCTAGACTCCAAGTTCAACATTTGGTAGAAAAACCTTGACATCTATGAAACATGAAGCTTCTACTGTAGAAAATTCAACTTTGCCATATGTACTATGGCTAATTCAAAAAACAATTTTAAAATCCACACAAATAAAATAAAATGAGTTTCTGGGGATGTGTCTCTTAATACATGTCAATAGGCCTTTGCAGTGTGTGACAATAGCTACCATCATGTAAAGAAATTCAGCCATGCTAGAGTAGGGCATACACATTTTTGGTAGAGGGATCTTGTGAACAACTGAGATGAGAAAAAGAAACAGAATGACATGATCTGTTTTTACAGCACAACGAACAGCCCTTGGCGTATGGCCCAGCAGCCAGGAGAGCACTGTTGTTTAAATTCACTCAAGTATGTCAAATCTCAATCAGAGAAAAAAAGGTGTTGAAAAGAATCTCTCTCAAGGTTAGAAGAATGAATTTTTCATTGTGTACCAATGTCACATGAAGAAACAGAGGTTGGCTTCCCCATAAAAACAAAGTGAATGTGGCCATTAACAGTTACAAGGTTGCTGTCTGAATGGAGGAATTCTCAACAACCATAAAACAGCTTAGCCAACTTAAGTCTAGGAATTTCCTGTGACATCAATTATATGCAAATCCCTGTTGCTTGCTGTTGCATATGTTAATTAGTTGTAGCTGGGTTTGTTTGAATGTTTTACTCATAAGATAAATTTCCACTTAAATCAAAAACAACTTTCAATTTAAGCACAATTGTAAACAATTATTGCTGATCGTTGTTACCATGGCTATTAGGAACTTCCTGGGAAGTTTCAGTATTTTCCCATTCATTTATCAAAACAATTTCAAAACGTATTATGGCCTATTACTCTTAAACAAAACCGAACCTACAATACCAAAAATCTCCCTAAGCGAAATTTCCGACTTTATATATATATTTATATATATATTTATGTCATACAAAAGAATGTAAGTTGTTGTACAAAAATTTGTTGGATTTCACCAAGATCCATAGGCCTTATTAACCACTAGCGTAGCGTTGTAGGACAACTTTTCCAAATAGAAGTGATTGCCAAAATTAAATTCATCAGTAAACTATCGATTCATTGTTGTTCTACAACAAAATGTTTTACACAGGCGTCTCACTGTTGCCTCGAAGGGGCTCTAATTGACTTGGACTGTCGGCTGGTTTACTATTTTTAGAAAGGACAGCCAACACCTTGTTCCATGTTCGCGGTGCGTGGATGCATATGATCCACAAAGCCGAAAGCAGTCCAACAGCAAAAACCATGATAAGTCTGAGCAGGAAAACCTCGAAGTTTGCTCCAGGTGAGCCAACTTTGGTAAACCAAGACTCTCTATTCACATATTCGTAAAAATAACTAGCTAAGATCACTGTTGAAAGTATCGTGTGCAGGGCTGCAAAAATGCCAATCGGCAATAAAGGTTGCTCAATTTTTGAGTCATTTGAATTCTCTGGTGAAGTGCAATTTGAAACGGGGCGAATTTTGAACAAGGCCACAAAACCGGCGACAAGAAATGTGGTTCCCATAATCAAATAAGTAAACAGCGGTCCAACAACGAATTCGCGCAATGCTGATATATTTTCAAATCGATTTCCGACATAACATAACCCAGTTAATTCATCGACATCAATTTTTCTTAGCATTAATATAATAACAGTCTTTCCACATGGAACTCCCCACGCAGCAACATGAAAATAAACGGAACACGACCGCACGGCCTCAGCTTTCCATTTCATGCCTCCACAGAGAAACCAGGTTAATGTCATCATCACCCACCATATACTCTGCGCCATCGAAAATAAATATGTCAACAAAAAGGTAGTCGCGCATCCAATATTGCCTGAACCGTCTTGTATTGTGAAATGGCTCCCCATATCAAAGTCACACCCAATTTTATCTCGACCAACGTTCGAACGGACAATATAGGCCCCTGAGTAAGCGAGATAGCAAAACGTGATGTAGACTATCGCTCGCTCCGGATAAAACACCGACTTCATGTTGCTCAGAACAACAATTAAGGCAAATAGAGACAGCGAAGCACACAAATATGATAGGCCCGTTAGCCAGGCATCTACAATGCCCTTTTCTGCGCTAGTGAAAATTCCATCCTTCTGGCAAATCAAAGCACAAGCCTTTGCTCGATCTATAAACACATAATTTTGCCCATTTCGTGCATATTTCATACGACATAACTTCCGAGATGATTTAATATTCACAGACGGAATCAACGCAGTCACTGTTGAGACGTTAGTTGCTTTCTTATCACTTCCATGGCGCTTTGGCGGCTGTTTCGACTCTTTCACATCTTTAGTAGTGTCGACTTGCCCGCGGTTGGAATCCGTTCGCGGATTAGTATTTCCACCTTCCTTGATTTCAGTGTTCGATTGAGTGTTTGTGGATTTTCCCGAAGAAGAGCCGCCGCTCATTTCTGCGTTATCAATACACATAGTTTTGTGATCATTCTTCGGAGGAAATTTCGTACAATTCAAATTTTCAGGCCATTCAAAACCATATCGCTTCATGACAGGCGAGCAAGCAGCATGCACCCGTTCGCACAAAGTCCTGCAGGCCGTTATCGGCTGTCGAACCTTTTCAGTACAATAAGGGATGTAAACACTACATAAAAACAATTCCAGTTCGCTGGAGCACTGAATACGAACTAAAGGAACATATGTAACAAGCTCCATTTGTGCATCCACTTGTCCTGCATTCTTCATACTATTGGGCATATGTGTGACGTTATATTTCATCTTCATACAAAAATCACTAGTGATATTTTCGCATTTCCATGGCGTTTCTTCGTAGACATCATGAAACTGGCAACTAACATCCAAAACAAACGCTTCAAGCACCAAAAAAGATAGTAAGTAAACACGACACATCTGCAATTTCGAACAGACCATTGTCAGGCTCGATCGGCAAGGTAAATTTCGTCGACCACATCTCGAACTTCTATTTAACACAAAGTCATATTTGGTGAAAGTTGGAGCGGCCATTTCCTAATCCACAAGATAAACTCGTTGCTTCACAGCAAAGATAACTTGAAATCCATTTATGTTTTGTATAAGGGCTTAACTACGGATTTACCAGGCTGTTCGCGAGACTGTTGTTTTATTACTGCTGCGTTCCACGATCAAAGATTTTCAATGCCAAATTAACGTACATTGGCTTCGGCTCGTGTTACACAAAGGCAAGCCAATCAGCTGCGTCGAATCATTCTATAGCACCGCCCACCATGTCAATTCCACAGCACATGTCAATTACAATGCATCATAATGGCTTCGTTCATTGGACGAATCTCAAGCTCAAACAAGGGAAAGTTATATTGCGGTAAAACAGAAAATTTGCGTCTCAGTTACTTCGAATCTAGACTAAGAAATATGAATAAGGTAGCCCTACCTTGACAGGAAAGGCCAATCCAGTCGTGTGTCTTGTCGTTAATTGCTTGTGCTCGTTGCTGAACGCAAACAATACAATTCACCTCCAAATTTCAATCTGAAGATATAAGAAAATGAATATTTAAACGACTCGGCATGTCATGAATTCTTAATTAGAAGCGTTATAAAATTGCTTCAAACATCCCCACAGTAGTAGCCATTTTAACCCGTAAAATTTCGTTTAAGAGAGTGTATCTCGCTCAGACAACTTGCACAGGTTCTGCACTGTTGACGCGAAAGTCTGTTCAAACTTAAACTAAGTATTTTGTATTTTGCTCGCTTCGTTCAGCAATAACAAAAGCTCATCATCACTCACGCCACAATCCAACTCTAATCAACCCTAAACAATAGCTTATCAAAACACGAGACAAAGACACGATTTCCATAAAGAAGCGACAAGCTCAGGCCGTTTGCCCTTGACAGGTTTGTTGATTCAGTTATATCGCTGTCATGAAGAAAGTCGATTTATCTTCCAACGCCTTGTTGCGGAAATTTCAACCCTTTCGAGATCCATCTATCTACTGTTACAACCATATCGCCATCTCTACGCTTGGAGACGAGGGGATATTGTAATGTCCTCAGGAATGTAGCGGTGGGGGGCTCAAGGGCGCAGTCCCCCTTGTTAAAATTTTCGAAAAAAAGGGGGGAGAGGGCTCAGCCCCCTCATTGTTTGCGCTAGGATACAGCCAAGAATCAAATAAAGCAAAGAAAGCTTTGAAGAATAGTTACTTCACCAAAGGTCAGCCATTGACGACTAAACCAGAAAAGGAAAAGAGAAGCAACTGACAGATTTAAAGGCATCGCAAGCTTTATATGCATGAAAATTTACACAAAGTGTGACAAATATAGATAAAAAAATTGTTGAATGATCTCTTACTGAGTACGGTTAGTTGCAGTTTTGTATAGACAGTTGGTTTTTTGTTACATTTAGAAATGCTTGATTCAACAACCGTTTGCTTTTATTTGACTCTGTCTTGTCTAGTTTTAATATGGCTCTGGTGTTCTTAAAGTTGTATTGATTTCAAAATTATGATCTATGAACTATGAACACTTTCCAAGTCCACTGAATAACAGTTCTGCATGACATTCTTAGAAGCACTGTTCATTAGCTGATAAAATCGCCTCTGTTTTTTTAACACGAGAGAGATTGTTTCAATTCAAAATCCAACCAATGGGTCATTATTATTAAAAAGAATGTACTGACTTCTTTGCTTCGAGTACTGACGTTTCTTAACTTTTTCCTACATCCCAGCACTGGTTTGTTATAGAAAGGCTCTTATAAAAAGGCGAGTGTACCTTTCTGTTCTATCTCGATGAAGCCCCATTAGGTTATCAAGACCCAAAAATTGGCATGTATAGGTGGGAGCTTATTCCAGACCCCCTACTTTCAAGTTAGGGGTCTGGAGCACAGGTTACGCAGATTGACCAGGGTCTTTGTTAAAGTTAGAGGTGATAAGCAGCGGAGGGTACCATGTGGTTTGTCATGGGGCGTGGTCTGCATCAAAGTTATGGCCATGGCTGGTTTGCGGGATCGTCATCGTGCCCGACCTGAGTTCAGAAAACCCCTCTCTGCCTCACGACATACACGAAACCTGCGTTTGGGCGTGGTCATTTTTGTTTTCTTTAAAAATATCTTTTTCTATCGCTAGCTCTTTTCTTTTGGTTCCAAGGCCTTCTTGTTACGATCTGCACCGAGAGATAACGTATTGAAGAAGAGGGCGTGTAGTGAGACCACGTATGTATAGAGAGAATTGTCGTCCTGTTAAGTTTCTTCAAGTTTTTAGAGAGATTGCTAAGTTTGCTTTTTAAACCGCACATGGCGGCCCTGTCTGATATTTATTTAATTTAACTACGGTTAAGAGAGTTCAGAGATACATCAAAAAAGTAGATACAATATTACCAAAATCTTGGAATGGCCACTATAGTGCAGTATTTGGTGCTGAGAACATTGCATTGAGAGCGATATTGCCCTTTGCAAAAATAAACCTTATCGCCAGCAAGCTTAAAGATATGTTCCCCTCTCTGATCGTAGGAACAGAAAAGTCCTCTAATCCTAGAAGTAAAACTAAAAACAGACCTTCCAGTTCAAATCAATAACATGGCAAGAACAATAATAGTTCTTGAAGAATGGACCCTCGGGAGATGAAAAACGCTATAACCTATAGAGAATTCAAATATATTCTCTTTCGATTTTTCTTGTAATATAATAAACGACAGAAGGGATAACGCTGGCCCGTTGGAACCGGGGGGGGGGGGCTGGAGCCCCCCAATAATTGTCAGACTGTAGTATCTTTCCTCTATACCAATGTATAGGGTGAGAGGGAAAACAGTGGGCAACCCCCCCCCCCCCCCAATATGAATTCCGTTCCGACAGCACTGTGACGTTGTGAATGAATATGATTGAATGTTTTATCGAAATGAGAGAGCTGCTAATGAAAACGCTAATAAAGTTTCACAACTCCTACTTAACCTTACGGTTTTCTTTCCTTGTTTCCCTCCTTGTGGTTTGGGCTTTCATTTGCACAATTTCTGGCATAACATATGACTTACTTTTCCATGCATTGTTTTGGTAGTACCCGCAGCAGTTGCTTTATCATCAACGTCATTGTTGCCCATTGTTGTTGTTCTCGTTCTGTTGAGGGCTTTTCTGTTTTCAAAACAAAACAAAGCCGCTTTGCATCTGGTTTGGCCACCACAGCAAAGTGATCACTAGATTTCTTTATTGTCTCAGATTTATACGTAAATCTCAAGAGATTTGATAGCGAGCTGATGCCATAGGCTGATGCCAATTTGGCAATATTGCTTTCTTGCGGCCGGACCATATGGTTTTCTTGCACTTTGATTTCTGTCTCCAGTTAACACCCATGTTATTTGAAGACTCAACCCCAACTTAGGCCTCACTTTATATCAATGATTTTATTAATAAACTTGCATCATAATAGAGCGAGAGAATACGCCCCAGTCCTGCATATTTCGCGTTTAACATGCGACTTCAAGCGCGGACCAGCGTGGAATTATGTGGCATTTGCATCAATAGCCCAATGAGAATTTCAAAAATATCAGCTTGGGCATTTGCTCCAAACCCTATTCCCAAACCTCCATCAGCTTCCGCAAGAATAGAAACAACCTAACATAAAAAAATACTCCACAAAGGTGGGACGTCACTTTCGGGTGCCCGAATAAATGCTGAAAACACGAGTGCTGTTCAAAAGCTGTACGGCTAGGTCAGGTAACTCTCTCGCTAGCTGGCCAAAATTTACAGATAAATTTTCAAATTACAATTAAAATAAGGAGTCATTTGCTGGAGTTGGCTGAAACTATTTTTGTTGACTGTCACTTTCTTGGACTCTGCCCGAATGCCTCAACAACTAACATTCTTCGGCAATATTTACCAGCCAGTTCCATGGAAACGATATATTTTCTCAGATAATTTTTTCAAAATATTTTGGGTTTATTAAGAAAAATACCTTCACATGACACACCTGGCACGTTTACCTTTTCAACCCATGGATTAAGTTGCAATGTACAAAATGTACGTAAAGGTTATGAGGTTGATGCAAGAGACAATTAATACTTACCACTTTTTCATAAGAAAATAGTCTATAAGGCTCAAAATCGCTTCATCAATAATTAAATTTTTTGTTTATTTGAGTTTTTCACGCTATTTGTCTTTAAATAGACGCACCCGGCCTTGGTGTCATTAACACTTTAATGACACCTTGTGTCGCTTAAGAATAATTAAGACTATTCTTAGGTTACAAAAATCAAGAATATTGAAGCTCAGAAAAAGTAGCTATTCTTAAAAAAATGTGTATCAGATGAGTATCAGCTGTAATGATTGGCTCAATCCTCTCACCCGCTTTTGTTATTGATCAAATTTTCACCCTTCTGCTGATATAATTCCTAACATTAAGATTTTATCAATACAAAATAAAACAGCTTAAGTTGAACTTCACCTCCACTGCGCGTAGAAAAAACAAAGAAATGTTATTTGAACGTCACCTTTATCAAAAGAAAAATATTATGGAATTAAAAATGTGTATTGTCTGTCGACAAAAGTTTTAATTGTAGAGAACCACAGTCGAGGAATGGTTATTGTGGAAACCTAAAAATAGAGGCGTGTTTTGGAGGAAATGTCTTGAACAGCAATTTGAAAAAGAAGGAAAGTGATGCACTCAGACAAATTTCCAAAACATCGCCAAAACTTTAGTCAGAAGAAATAGCCAAATTCAACAAATGGTGATTTATATATTTAACAATGTAAAATGGCTTTCCTCATTTTGAAGAGATTTATAGATGTCATTAGAAAGCTTTTGATTGAAATATTTTCAGGAATTGCGACATAGATCCGTTTCACATACACTGCGTTTCCGGCATACGCTAAACCACGCCCATTGACCCAGAGACCCCGATCAAAACAAAAACAACAGCAACGGCAACGAAGATAGAATCCTAATTTTTTGATGCACATTTCGATCACGATGATTGCCCAATCATCCATCAATAGAATCCTAAACATGATTAAATAAACATTGCCTTAAATAAACAAGATATGCGATAGCATCGCTTGAAAATGCTTTAAGACGCACATGTTCGCATTGGACTCACGGGAAAATTATTTGAAAGAAGCCTTTTAGACGGGCTAATTTTGTCATTGGCCAACTCATTAGCTAAAGTTTCAATTTTTGCTTAACACACTTCTCAGCGTACCATGTGTGTGACCAGTTAGTCTAAGAAATCCGGGAACGTTATGGATTAAGTCAGGGCCATTGAGTACTGAGATGCAGTAAAACAGTGCCGTTTGACCAAATTCGACCCGGGTTTGCACTGTATAGTAGATTTGCATGGATTTAGGGTATTAGAACAACAATGAAAGACTAGTTCATCACACAGACACTCTAAAAAGCAGGGCAAATGCAAAAATTTGAAAAAACATGCCGCCTATAATAACATTCATTATGATGAAAATGTGGCCTAAAAATGATTAACGGAAAAACCATGGAACACTTCTGTACGAGGCAGAGTAAATAAGGAGCAAACGAATTCGGATGAATGTAGAAAATTTCAATATACACTCTATTAAATTATACCGAATGAGTTGATTTTTATGCAGAAAAATAGTGATTTGGCAAACATAGGACCAGGGAGAAAAAGTATCAATATGATAAAGTCTTGTTCAGTGTCACCCATGACATGACATGGCATGGCATGATAAATTGTTACCAATGTTACAAGATATGTCGAAGAAAAATAGAAGCAATTCAAATGCTTTTATGGGCAACGGCCCTAGTTCATTCCTACGGTTTTCTCGAGTCTGGATAGTGTCCAAGAATAACAGTGTCAATGAATACTGAATTAATTCACCCAAAGAAATAAGGTCAGGGCATCTGATCACTTTGAATTTCTGAAATATCAGCTAAAAGCATCTAAAAAATTTAAGCACTTTAACAGAGTTCAAAAGAGTCTTTTAACTTTTATCATAATTTGAATCTACACTTTCCTTTCACGATTAATACATAAAAAGGAGAAGGTTGATAAGTGTAACAAAGGAAAACATTCAGGGAAACACGGCTGAACCCTTGCTTTGGTTTGCTAAAAGTGCGGGTTATAAGTTAAATATAAGGCCTGTTGATTATGCAACTAAATGACGTAAACAAACCGCAAAGCGAAGGACCAAAGCGAAGGACCAAAGCGAAGGACCAAAACGAAGGACCAAAGCGAAGGACCAAAGCGAAGGACCAAAGCGAAGGACCAAAGCGAAGGACCAAAGCGAAGGACCGAAGCGAAGGACCAAAGCGAAGGACCAAAGCGAAAGACCAAAGCGAAGGACCAAAGCGAAAGGTCGATCATTCTCAGCTAGTTAAGAGCGAGAGCCTCCATTGTGTCATCATCCATCGACAGCATGCATGATTTAACTGTAAAACATTTCCTTGATACGTTGCTATCTTAATCTTAATATTTAAACAGTTGTCAATGGTAACGAAGCATTGATATTTGAAGCGAAACGCAAATGCAAACATTTCCAAGTTATTCTGATGATCTGAGCTAACAAATTCTAAATCGATGATAATCCTATTGACTGGTAAAGCTTACTCTTCTATTGGCACAGAAAGTCATCAGTTCATTAAAATTAATATGTTCTATGGCGATTCACGACCAACTATTTGGCAATGAAATTACAGAGCAGGATGAATTCAAAAGCCACATTTTATGACGAATAGGATGCTAGGCCACAGAAATCAGATTTAGTTTGGCTCTTGGTAAAAAACGCTACGCAAAGGCAAACTTCTACTAAAATCGAAGGCAAACTGCGCATAAAAATAGCATTTAATCTGTATACTATTTTTATTGAAACAAAATGCTTTTATTAGTTTTAATGATCATTTATATTTGTGGCAAAAAGCTGGCAGATGAATGCGGCGAAATGCATCATCAGTAATTAGCTGTGAGGCAAAATGCAGTGACAGCATGACGTAAATTGGGCACCAGACCCTTCATTCATCTTATTTTTCACAAATTTTACGGTAGCCCCGTCGGCAAGACGGTTGCTTAAAAGAGAAGCTGTGTCAAACTTTACAATACCAATGTTTAAAAGAAAATGAAAAGAAAAAGGAGAAAGTGAAACCACATCATGTACTCCTTCTGAGCAGTTTTTCAAATTAAAGGTCATTTTTCTTACGACGTCTATTTCGAAGGCCAGCCCTCTGAAAGAAAAACCGCTTTGGCAAACTGATGTTGTCAACAGTGGAGTTCTAAGGTTAACATTTGAAGCATAGTTTGATGTTAAACAAGAATTAGAATCAGAGCAGCTGAACTTCATGAAGGATCCACATGCCTTTGATCAAGAGACTGTTGCCATCCTGCAACAGCGATGTAGCTGCCTTGCTAGGAGAATAAAAAGGCTCCATCCAAGATTCATGCAGCGTTTTCGTAAACTAGCTTCTTTCACTCAACAAGGGAACCGTTATGTCAATCTACGGGAAAAACACAGATTCTTAGAACTGTATAATGTTGATAAAATGAATATAGAAAATGTTGAAAACACCTGGCGTTATTCACAATTAACTTGCACTTGAAAAATTCTTTGCATATATTAAAAAAAAGGGTTAAAGCAGCTCTGACGCCGAGGGTCAGGTCGCTCTATCTGGATACATCGCTGACGCCCTTCGCTTTGTCTTCACCACAAAGCTGTACAAAAGTATCTGTTCAGATTTCAGTAAATCCAGCCATTTGTAGTTAAATCGCCAAGTTTAGTCTCTTTTGTTAGGGAATCCTGTTTTTAGGGGTCAAAATGTTTATCACTGACAAGTTAATTTTCATTTCGTTTATCAAGCGTCTTAACAACTGAGGGCATTGGCAAGTTTCTATTCAAAGACCCATAATACAGTGCGACGTTAAGCACCGCCCTCGCCGTTAGATTGGTCTGACAGCTGGTGGATTGTGCGACATGGCTACAAAGGCATCAAAAATTCTATTCGTAATGTTTCAATAAATAAGTCGACTTAAACGATAAAAGGCTCTGTTTTGTCGTAGCATCACAAGACTTGCACCTCCCAATGTATTGTGTTCGATCAGTGGGTGGGACGGTCTTGTGCTTATACAAAGATTATTGTCGTGTTTCAAAGAAGAAAATTATTTAATTTTATAGAAATTGGAAATTGAAAAACTGAACATTTAAGATCAGAACGACGCAGCACCTTTGTAAACCTTTGAAATGAAGGATTTGAAGAAAGCCAGTTGAGGGCAGCCATCTGTTACCTTTTAAACATAATTATTTAAGAAAACAGAGGGGACGGGCATGGCGACTCAGTAGGGAATGCCTCCTTAATTTCAAGCTCTTTGCTCTAATAAAAACAGCAGCAAAATTCGTGTTTATACATAAACAACCTGGAAACGTTGTTACAAAAAAGGTTGTTGCGTCATAAATAAAACTGGATTCCTATACGTTCGTTGTGTCAAAAAAGAACGTCGTCTGCCAGTTGGCTAACTTAACCAAGTAAGCACTCTACCTACATCTAAGAACAGCAGCCGTAACTTAGAATACTAAGAAAGCCTCTGTCCAATGAAAAACAACGAGCACGATTTTGGAACGGAAAAACATAGCTATACTTTTCAGCACAAACCAACGACCTATCACGGAACCATGATTTCAAAAGTAAATTCAACTTTATCGTCATTTTTTCAGGCACGGAACTGTTTCGATTCCGTCGTTCTCTAAGCTTTGTGGTAAAAGTTTCGGCTAGCAGAGAGGATGGACACTTGTTAAGTTGAGTAAAGGGTTACGTGGGCCATACTTTACCTTTGGTATTTTCCACAGAGAGTTATCACGATAGACACGTTGCGGACCTAAAAGAAAGAAAAGGCATCAGGCATGAAGCGGGCGAAATAAAAGAATTCGTCCGAAAGTCATTGGTGACGTTAAAGTTCCATTCGTCTTCTTCATCGTTCTTCTACCTTCATCGTTCTGATATATCAAGGTGGTTGATGTAACACAGATACAGGTGAAGGGCAGCAAGAGAAGATGGAAACGTTTTACAAAATGCTGAAAACGATCTTAGAACGTCAAGACGGAAACTAATTCTGTCTGCACAAAGCAGGACTTTGTGCATGAAACAGCTTGAAGGGGTAACTGTGTCAGCTTCAAATACAGCCTTAGGGAAGACGACAAGTCCAAGGTGATTCAGGTGGAATCAGTTTTAGGAGAAAAGACTGTCTCATTGCCCAATCAAACGCAAGAAAAAGAAGTTTGGATGATGACCCAATTAGGATTTACTGACAGTGAGTATTGTGACTATGTAACTCGCAGACTGCATTCAGCATGAGGCGTTTAACACATGCAACTTGTGCCCACACATAAAACACATGAAGTCACAGCCTCACACAAAACTATAGAAGTACATCTACCTTTGACGGTTCAGCCTAGGTTGTCTGTTGCCGTCTAAGCTTTCGTGTTCTACCAATGGCCTCCGGCGGAATGCATTTAATCAATAAAACTCTAAAAGTAAAACAAATTATGCCAAATTTAAAAATGAAAGATTTCAAAGACAAAAAAAATGGACACAAACAACGCAGTAGATAAACCTATTGTCATGATTGGGTTTTCAGCTATAGCCCCCCTTCTTCGTATGAGAAATAAAGCGTTTTGATATAGACATTGAGGAAAGACGGGTCTCGGTTTGGAGGCCTCGTTTCTAAAACAACTGCACCAGCTCAAATGGCACCGATCATCAGAACAAGATCATTAAGTAGCAGCCAAAGTTTTAAATGCGAGAGGTTTCTCTGGGAAAAACTGGGATTTTCTTATCATTCTTGCAAATCATTCATTTTTATAACACAACACTTTCTTAGTACTAGTTAGCTAAAATTACACAGTAAATTTGTTAACCAATACTTTCAAATAAACAAATGAATATTTTATCTTACTATTGTTATATCGCTATTTTACTAGATATGAAGCTGTTTTATGAATAATTAAGTTTTTCACAGAGCATTTTATTTAGCATTTAATTCAATTCATGTGGAAGGGAACTGGTACTCTGTTGTTCTCAAGTATGAATAAAAAACGAAAAAAGGCGAATTTTCACAGCCAGAGCGCATGTGTGTGGCTGTGAAATAATATTAAGTTAAATTACGTCTATTATAGCTGTCTCCCTGGGGCGAACGTTCGCGCCCTTTTAAGCGAATGACAGCTTTAATGTCAGTTTAACTTTAATCGTAACGGTAAATTGGCAAACAAATACAGCCTGAAATCACTAAGAAAATACACAATTTCAAATTGAATGATAAGATAAATCAAATTTGAATCATAACCAAAGTTGGATAATATTATGGATTAAGAACAAGGCATGCCCCTGCACCCACAACGTGTTTAATCTACTCCCATCTGAGCCCACCCACTTAAAACAGTTGCAAGCTCTTTTGTGAAGATTCAGGGTTTTAGGTTCGAAAAATGGTAATCGGCTGACCTGGAGAAAGCAGCCATGCAGCTGATTTAAGTAAATCTTACCGGAATTTATCGAGTTATTCAAATGCATAAAACAAATTTGTCTTAATAACCGGTGGGCAGATGACCCTCAAATCCTACTCATCAATACTCGTTGAATTCCAAGTAAACCAATAAGAAATGCAAGAAAGTATTGCCTTATTCACAGTAATAACTCTCAGTATTGCAATCAATATCGTATTCCCTCTAAAGAACGCCACGGTGTTCATAACAAACTCCAAATGCGGCCTTCAATAGAGGGCGCCGTTTATCAGAGGGCGGCGTTTATCAGAGGGCGGCGTTTATCAGAGGGCGGCGTTCATTAGAGGAAATACGGTAGTTTTATAACCCTGGCCAAAGTGCGGTATTTAAGTACCTGGCGTCCCAGCAGTTCAGAAAATCCAGTGTGAATATTCAAGGGCCAGAAGAAGTAAGGACAATTCAGTCGATTAAATAACGACAAATACTGTTTCAGATTTTTAAGACATCTTAGAAATTGGGTCAAGGAAATAGCAGATGTCATAAGCATTTTGGGACCTAAGTTCGAAGAATTTAAGAATTTTTTGGGATGGTGATAATGATCGTTATAACAAAAAATTTGCGATCAATGTTCTGATGTTTTATACTCTGAAGAGTGCCAAACGAAAAGCTTAAGTACGTTTCAAAATGTTTGCTTTTTCAAATCAATTTTCAACTTTTGTACCAACAAAAAAGTATGAAAACAGTTCATGAGGGAAAACGGGCAGTTTTCTCACCTTTAGTACGGAACAGGTTGTCAAGCCTGAGATCTAGGTTGGGATTGCAGTCGACCGCCTTGTGTCGAAGATAACCACAGTTTCCAGTTGCTATCTTACACTGTTAGAAAGCCGCAACTGAAAGAATTCAAAAAATTACAAAGTCATTTAATGTAACAAGCCATCATGATGGAATCTTTATTTAATTAAATTGGTACGTTACTCATCACGGCAATGAAAGCTGAAAATAATTCAAATTGATTATGATTATTATCAAATTGCCCGACCAAGATTGTGTGGTTTTCTGTCGACAAAACCCGCTGAAATTCCGGTGTTCTTCAACTATCATTGTGTGGTAGACAAGCAGTTGTGGTTCAGCCATTCTATTTAGGTCGGAGTAGCACTAAAACCGAGGGGCCCAATGTTCAATTCATAAAAACTTACGTGCCTGCTACTACAATGTGAAGAAGTTCATGAAAAACAGAAAAGAGGTTCACATGCTAAACAGAGCTGCTCTTTCAATTTGTATAGAGCCTTCAACACGTAATGATAAACATTACGGTTTGGTGTTTGAACATTTATGTAAATTTCTTAAAATCTTAACCAACATCAGTCTGAACTTCCTCATTAATGGAGTTCATATGCCAAGAATATGTTCTCAAGCACGCACACTTTAGAAGCAGCGACCTGCTGGTCGAGATTCAACATTTTTCGACGGCGGCGGAGGGATTTTCTTGCCTCTCGTAAAGTTTTAGTTATTTAGTTGTGAAACTTTTAGCCCTTTGGTGATATATCTTCATTGCGAAGTACAAGTTATATTTAGAGTCTGTCTGGAGAACAGTTAACATTGTTATTCAGTTTGAACTTTTTCAGCTCAAAAATCAGCAAAGTTGTTTGTAAGGAGACCAGATTTGTATTTCAAGGAGGTAATGAATATACGTATATGAGCAGGAATTTCTTACGGCTTAATTAAAACGTTCTATTCTTCATTAAGGCACGGCCATCTTTATCTTCTTCAGATGTCAACTAGCACCATGGTGGGAAATATCGCCCCTGACGGTAGAGCGATAGAATTCACTGGCGGCTATTTCAGCTGGCGATTAAGGGACCGACGATAAAACAGCCGGCGTTACCAAAAGACAGGTTCAAAAAGGAGGACGTAAAGGCATGTTAAAAATTGTAAGATGACTTTCACTTCCTTCAATTCTTGAAAAAGAAGATATTCAGTGAAAGATTTCATGATACACGGTGCAATCGCCCATCAACTTGTTTCGCAACACCATTGCGAGACAAGTTGCAAGCGAAGTTGCAAGCGAAGTTGCACCGAGTAACATAAGCTTAATTTTTCATCAGATTTAGTGCAATACCTAAAATAGATGGATCGGCAGCAAAGACCAGCATCGAATAATGGAACATGCTTACCTGCATGCATGGCAATTAGTGATCGAAGAGCAAACCAAGATATGATTTTGTATCAGTTGCCAAGATCACAGGTATAGCGTAAAGGCAGTCACGCAGAAATAACGTGAACATTTGGGAGGGACGCGAACATTTGTTTAAAGTACAGCTTTTGTTCATCAATTCTTACAGTTAAAAGTGTAGAAAGGACTACGGTATGGGAGGTTAAATGCGCAAGAGGGTTACAAATTCTTTCTAATTGTCAATGGAGCCCCCCCCCCCAATAATTGTCAAACTGTAGTATATTTCCTTTATAACTGTGTACTGAATAAGACGGAATACAATGGGCGTCCCCCCCCCCCCCAATATGAATTTAGTTCCGACGGCACTGCTTGTCAGATATCTAAGATTTTATATAATTGATTTTCGGGGGCTCCCAAAGCAACCTGTGCTGTGATCCTACTTCCAAAGCAACCCCGCCAACAAGCTTCAAGGGCCCGATGGAATATGGAGGTTCCCAAGGAACGCGCGAGCGAACAAAAAGATTGAAAGGCGGTCAATATTTATGGACCCCGTCCCCCCTCGCAGGCCTTACAAAGACATTCGTTCGACAAGGGGGAAATCATATTTTCTGCTTTTGCAACTGGACTCTCCGTGCAACTGCCATACTTGACGGGCAGTGATGCCAGGTGGTAATTATGCAGGTAACACATTAAATGCAACAACTAACACACATGCAAACACCTCCCATCGAAGCGTACACTTCTCTATTAATCGAGTGATAAGATTTAAATTTTATCAAATGTTTCATATTCTTCCGCCAAGTTCATGCAGGAATCTTTAGTTTCCCCTTAAAGTTACTCCTCCTTTACAAATACATCACTACATGCGTTAGGATCGCCAGCTGTCTATAGGCCTATTTTTCGAATTTTGGTTTTAGTAGCTTTTTTCATTTAGCTATATTTTTTTTTATTAGGAATACAAATAAGTCGATAATTCGTGCGTACAATATCTGCTTATCTTTTTGCCTTTCAACAGGGCTCCAGCATGCCCTTTCCGAGTTGTTGAGATTTGGAGATGCGTCCGTATGTTGGGTATAATTGGTCCATCGTGGATTTATCGAAATCAATTGATTGAATCCCCCATGACCTACTAATTGGGTGCAGAACAGAATTCGAACCCTCTGTTGAAGCTGGGAAGGATTCCCTGGGTAAAGATTGAGAAGAACGGTTTAGAGGTATGATTCCAAAACGTGACCGTGTAGCGCAGTGGGTAGAGCAGCAACTTACAGTGAGATCGACCTACACATTGCAAATTAGAGGCCCAGAGTTTCACAGAAATTTTTGGTCAAACTCCATATACAGCTCGATGAAACAACTTCATAAGATGTACCGCAAGGGGCCTTACTTGGACCTTTACTTTTCAACATCTTTATAAACGGGGATTGTGGCTTTTGAGGTGGTGTGGCAACCTCCTTGGAAGAAAAAATCATTGTAAAAACGAGAAGGTTTTGTCAATTAGAAGTGGGTCATCGGAAAATTTTCAGATATGTCGGCAACTGATCCCATCGTACCTTCTTGGTTATCTGTAAGACATCCTAGTGTACACACTGACTACACACTCAACTTTGAAATAGATATGGAAAAGGTTAACCAGAACGACTAGGATCATATCTGGAAGTAGAAAGGTCAAAGCTACTGTTACATTTTCTAATGATGTCAAACTTCTGCTAAATCTAAACGATTTGAAGTAAAGTTGCAAATAGTGGAAGAAACAGAACCCACAATCATGCATTGAGAACTTCATAGCTGTTGTACCAAACAGTTACACAAGCTCCCCACACGGAGATCTCGGCGTTGCAGAATTAACTGCCAACTCTTAGTAAGTCTCATATAGAAAACCTTTAGCGGCGTTTTGAAAACGACCTCTTTTAAAAATTCCAAAATAAATCGTTTTTGAGATGGCAACATCTGTGTCTGCACCATTTGTATTCAGCTTGGCGCGTTTGACTATATTTTTGAATAGTTGGTCTTTTTTATAGTTGATAGAAGTTAACGTACACCAAAATGCGTACTTAATAAAAAGGCACAATATCAGCTCAGCAAGTGCGTACTAGAATTTACACTGACAGTCACAGTGATCGAGAAGCTTCTTCTTGTTTAAAAAAGGCACAACGAAGGAGCATAAACAGATACACCTCTTGAAACTTAGCAATGAACATATTATTATCAAGCTAGAATGTACGGATGACGCTTTATGACGGATTGTGGGTTATATGTCATTAGTGTACTTGCATTATATCCAACTATAATGAAATTTGACAAACAAACAAAAGAAGATACAGTCCTTTGACAGTCACAAGTAAATGGTATTAAAAGATTTCGCTTTTTGATAATTAAAAAATATATAGAGAAACAAATAATCCAATAATGATAACATAATTAAATTCTTTCTTTTTTTCTATCACCATCGTTGAATATTGGGAAACGACCGCCGATATCCCGATATCCTCGGGCAAAGCAATTGCTTGTTGATGTTTAACTTGGTGATGTTGAGCTTGTTGCATCAGCAAGATCGATCAACTAAGAATGCGCCATTTCGTTGAATAATCTCCTCTTGCAGGACAAGCTGATCAGCAAGCACGCACGTCATTGGTAGAAGATTATTAAACTTCATTGAGAATTAGCGAGGCTATATCCAGGGCTACTAAATAAATCCAACACAATTCCTAGATGTTGGTCGAATTCCCGTTGCGTGTAAGTTCTAACAACCTTTCTACAAAAAGAGCTTTGCTTTGTCTGAAAACGCCTCCAAGCAAGCTGCTTTCAAGCATTTTATGTTTATTCTTATCTCTGTTAAATTATCAATTTTCATAACCGTATGTAATGACATAAGCAGGCCTTTGTCTAGATTCGATATGGCGCCCTTCAAGTTGCAAGTTATCACCACTATCCGAAAGTTTTCAGCCTGGTATCTCAAATCTATTTTATCTGTAAATGAACCACATGCTGTGAAACAAAAAAGGCAAGATTTGTCAACAACATAATTGTGTTTTAGAAAGCTTTTGACGTGATCTCTCCTCCCAAAATCCTGCGTTTGGATAATATTTTTTCAGAATCTGACGAAGGGACAAAACAAAAGCCTACACTACTGGTGAGAGAATTCAAGTTTGACAAGGTCTGATTTTCAAATGTTGGTTATAATCTCAAACTGAAAGCTCTTGAATAATTAACGAGATTTTAAAAGCTCTTGTTGTGAATAACCAAGACTTGAAATGACTTCATTTATAATTCAGCAGACACAGCATTTCAATAAAATAGAAACGACGAGAAAATCGCTTCTCTTTGGTTTGCGGTTACGCCAATTTTACGGCAACGCAAGGAACGGCTGGCTCTTCCTTGGTGTCCAGGATGGCGAATGCTTTACGAACTGCATGAGGGGCATCGAGTATTTTTGGCAGCAAAAGTTCGTTAATGTTATCTTCATACACAGTTGCTACGTGAAAATGTTGATATTCATGATTTCTTATTCAAGAAAGCGACGGCGTAATGAACCGCAAAAACTACTCGATATGTGATTTACGATACGTAGTTAAAAAGGGAAAGTAAAGTCATTAGACTTTCACATTTGAAAAATGGCCTGTTTTTTCTGTTTTGGTTCTTTATTTGGTTCTTTATTTGCAA